AATAGATGAGGGTTTAAAAAGAAGAGTAATGAAGCAATATAGCAAAGATGTTTAAACTATTTTCCTGATATAAAAATCTGAAAGAGAAAATTGACTTTTTTTGATTAACATTTTGTATTTTTCATGCAAACTTATGATTTTCCAAATATACTTTTGATACATTTTAAGTTTTTTGTTTTGTTTCATTTGCTTTTGTTTTGGTAACTGTGGTAGTTCAAGAACAGGTAACATTCTTTTATCATACACCATATGACAGTATCTGTTATGGTTTTTAAAGATCTATCACATTTAATTCTTACAACTTTATGTAATAGTTATAATTATCCCCATTATATAGATGTAAACCGAAACCGAAAAAGCTAGTGAATTTGCTCAAGATCACATAACTCACTTTGGAAAATCAGACATATTGACTCCACAGCCTCTGTGCAATACTCTCCTTAAACGGTTTCATTTCATTCCATCTTGTAATGTTTGCATCCATGCCGCTGACACTATACTGCATTCTGTGCATGATTAAATCGCTCGGGTAAGTATTGTCTTTATCCCCACTTTACAGATGCAGTAACTGAGCAACTTACAGGTTAATCAGCTCAAAGGCAAAGAGTGTGAAAGAGGCAACCCTGGGAGTCAGAGACCAGGTGGCCAGGCTGCAAGGGACTCTTCTCTAAACCTGCTTTTGCTCAGGGAGGAAGCAATCTGTCCTTAAGGATTACCACTCCTGACAGCCCAAATCATAGCTGGGCCCTCTGTCCTGTTAGCAGGACTCTTCAATCCCAGGCTGATGTGTCTGGAGAAGTTCTCTCTAAGTTTTGTTTAATCTACAGTCTGTTGTACAGCCAAAAATGAATGCTCTGCACAAATGCATAGGTATTGGTGTATTTGGGAGGAGGAAACAGTGAAGAAAGATTCATTTTGAAGTGTTGTAGTGTCTCCTTTCTATGTGAATGTTTTACATCAAGAGCAATGATATGCTTATACATATGACATTATTCTGGCCGACTAGAATATTTTACTTCATTAACAGAAATCAGTTTCCATCTTTGGATTGTTAGATCTGAATGATGAAATGATGATGTCAATAAACCCAATAAAGGGAAATCAAATTAGTTGGAAGGTCTCATGTCTAAATACACTTTCAAATAGTTCAGTGACAAAAAGCAATAGCAAATTGTTCCATCTATGTTCATAGTGTTTTAACATCAATATGAAGCTCTATTTGCTATTCTGATAGAAACAAATATAAAGTTGTGTGTCCACTCTTGTGACCCTGGAAATTGTGTGAGGTACTTGGCATTGGGAGTGTTATTTCTTTGGCTGCCGCTTTATTATAAATAGATATTGAGTTTCCTTTAAATCACTAGGGAATAAAGCAGCTGGTTTATAAGAGACAACAGCTTAAATGATGAGTATTGAACCTCATAAGTAGAATAAGTCTTCTGTAAATTGGTCGAGGAATATGTGCTTTGTCAGAAATAGTAAAAGAAGCAAAGATATGATGCTGAGTTAAATTTCTGAGAATACATGCTGCCTGTAATCACTACATGCTGCATTGGAAGACCATGGCCTTGACTGGAAGACTGTGGCCTTGATCAGAAGACCCTGACCTTGATCAGAAGACCGTGGCCATGATTGGAAGACCATGGCCTTGACTGGAAGACCGTGGCTTTGATTGGAAGACCATGGCCTTGACTGGAAGACTGTGGCCTTGACTGGAAGACTGTGGCCTTGACTGGAAGACCGTGGCCTTGACTGGAAGAC